CTCTGGTCTGCTGGGGACCATCTCCAGCAGACCAGGGACACCGGGAGCAAAGGAGGCGGAGGGGCGCTGGGGTATAAGATGAAACCCTATCTTTTAATTAAAAAGATAGGGGGTCGTCTTATACGCCCAGTCGCCCTATACGCCGGAAAATACGGTAAAAATAAGAAAGGAAATAGAAACCAGCTAGTCAGTATTTCTTTTTAACACGGGCTCAGTCAACTTGATGTTAATCTGAATGTTTGTACCCAATAGTTCTGATTTATCGCCGTTGAACTTGCTTGAATAGGAGTAATTTTACCAAATGTCTTGTATTCAGCATAGAGAAATATGATCACCTTAGGTAAAAGAAATCACTATAGCTGTCCTACTGCTTCTTTAGATAGCAGCAAATTGCTCTCACACTTGGGAACACCGGGACCATTGCAGGAGGTGAGGGATGGACAACATACAGACAGGTACTTTTGCTGCTTCCTGGTAGTTACAGGAGATTACTTCAGTGAAGTCAAATATCTGGCAGTTCTTAACCAACAATGCTCCTGTACTCTGACCTTATTCTTGTTTTCTTGCTATCTTTCGCACCTAACTTTACAATCCATTTGGTCAGGCAAGGAGCAGCACATGAAACTTGGTTTCTCTCCTCCTTTTGCTGGAAGGTCACGCAGAGCTCTATAAAGTCATGTACGTTCAAGCACTGGGGCACGACTACACAGTAGGGCTAAATTTGAAATAAACTATGTAACTTGAGCTATGCTAATTGTGTAGTTTAAGTCAAAATAGCTTATTTTGACTTTTGGAGTTTTATACACAGCAGTTATTTCAAAATAGAACACTCTTCTCCCAACTTCCTTTACTCCTGGTACAATGAGGGTTACAGGAGCTGGAGAAAGCAGTCCTCTAGCTCCACGTTATTTTGACATTATGTTGAAATAACTGCTTGTGTATATACGAGGACTATGTTATTTTGGAATAACATCAGTTATTCCAAAATAACGCTGCTGTGTAGACATAGCCCTGGTATGCTAAAACTGGATCTACACTGACAGCTGTTGTAAATTTAGTCTGCCTACAAATGTCAGCAAAATTTCACTGTTTTGCTCTATTTTTATCTGTGGTCCACCATGCACTGTGTAAATATACTTACTGTGTGCTTTATATATAAATAACTCTCTCAGAATATCTAACATACACAGCACTACAAAAACTAACATAAATGGTGTACCTGTATCTATTAAATGCAAAACCCCTCTGTATTAGTACTATAAATTGTACTTACTGTCCAGCAAGGTACAACACTGAGACATCCATATCTCTCTTAAAGCCACAGATTTTTAGCTGATTTTCTATTGCCTGATAACAAAAATAATTTGTTAGACTTCATCCCTGAAAATAAAAATCTTGCAAATAAGAACAATAAAGTTTAAAGTAAAGAGAGCAGAAACTTCAAGCTTTTGTTTTTAATTGATAAAAATAAGATATCTACAATTATGGTACATTTACTCCAGGATTTTTTATTCTTGTCATATTTGTTTCTTTAAATAGATACATTGCTACATATCTGGGGAAAAACACTACCCAGAAGTTGTGCATTCTTAAGGGCAGGATTTTTGCTAATAACCAGCAGACCCTTGTAAATGATGAAATCTTGAAAATTAATGAAGTGCAGATACTGCAAGCACATATGCAGTTTAACTGCACAGTGAGCATAAATGTACATAGATAAATGTGTGCAGGATTTGAACCTAAGTGATTAAATAAGATGTAAAAGAAACAACTGCTCAATCACAAAATATAACTTGCCCATTTATTTTGACAAATGTAATTTTAATTGTAATTTTTCATGATTTAACAGTAAATTACCATGGTATATTTTATAAAAGCAATGCATTCTTAGGCTGTCTACACTGGGAAGGTTTGGCATCAAAAGTGCTGTCGACATGCAAAAGTAAAAACGGGTCAAACTGTTTTTTCTGCCTCCCATTATCGACATTTCATGGCCACATTGCTAGCTCCCCTGTCAACAGAAAAAGCAAAGCAATGTAAGTAAACATCCCACAGTGCAGTGTTGTGGAAAGGCAGAGCTGATTCCTGTGCTTTTTGGGATTCTCTCACAGCATTCTCAGCTGCTGGGAGCAGCATCAGGAGTAGCTCTGTGAGCTCTCCTCACTGAGGAATGTCAAAGCAACAGTGCAGTCTCTCCAGTCTGCCTGCTTCTGTGTTTCTGCTTGCTTCTCTGGGGATGGAGGATTTTGCAGTTTGTAGAGTAATTAAGAGCTGGCTAGAAAATTTAATGAAAAATGTATTTAACAAAAAATGTTTTCTGACCAGTTTGTTTTTAAAATGCAAATCAGAACAATATGTATTATGCAAATATGTGGCACAGCACAGTTTCAATATCTAGGAGAAGGTTAAGAAAAATGTATTTCTTTTCCTTAAATCCCAACATTTCAGCCTCTTTCCTCCTTATTCTTCAGGCATGTAATTCTCCCTGTCATCCCTTTCCCAGCCAGCCCTCCCTGTGTTCCTTAAGAAAGTGGTGAATCTATGTCCTGTTCTTACTGCTGCAACAACTTCCTGGACAATTCGGCTGTGTTTGCACAGGGCTCAGTTTTTCTACTTCTTCAGATTAGGAATGTAAGCAGGGGCTCTTGTGCATTTCAAAGACTGAAATGTCACGTGGAGCCCAGGGTCAGCAGGGGACTCAGAGTCCCCCACTGGCCCCAGGCTCCATGCAGCTCTTCCTCTTTGAAATGTACAAGAAAGCCTGTACAAGAAAGTTGGACCACTGTGCGGAGCCTGGGGCCAGCGGGAAGTCCCCCGCTGATTCCAGACTCCATGCAGGCACATCCGCTTTGAAATGTACAAGAGCCCCAGTGTGGTCTCTTGTGCATTTCAAAGACTGAAACGCTGCATGGAGCCCACAGTCAGCAGGGGACTTCCCGCTTGCCCTGGGCTCCACACAGTGTTTCAATCTTTGAAATGTTCAAGAGCCGAACTGGGGCTCTTGTACATTTCTAAGCAGAAGTACTGAATAGAATCCAGGATTACCTGGGGACTCCCTGATGGCCCCAGGCTCCATGTGGTGTTTCAATCTTTGAAATTGTACATTTCAAAGGCAGAACATGCTCTAGTCCTTATCGACTAATCGAATAGTCAATAGAAATCCCATAGACTATTCCATTAGTTAATTAATCAATATTTAATATCCCTACTTCAGATCAGAGATTTCCTCAGTGAATCTTCCTTACTACTGTACCAAAAAGTGGTTTATAGGATAGCTCATCATACTGACCACCATAATCCAACAGCTGTCACATTTTTACAAGGGAGAGGCAAAGAGAGGAAAGAGCACACAGAGATGGATGGGCATATTTGCTAATCATCCAGCTGCCTGGCTAATACTAATGGGACTGAATCTTAGAAGCTCAAAATTGGGACAATTCTGATATTCTAAGACAACTCATTATACTAGTTGTGTGTTTTCATCCTCAAGGAGTTAGGAAGAAACTGGGAGGTGACATGTTGCTGTTTATTTTAGAGGTTTCTTTGTAAGGATGGAAAGAATGGAGGGGTATATGCGGAGATTCTTTTGTGATAAAATGACATAGGGGAAGAACAAGCAGAATTATTAGGCTGGGATGGCAAGAACCGGAGATTTTCTGTAGGCATGTCTCTCATCAGTAGGGACGGGATGGAAGGTGATTTTGTTGCATAGGTCCACTGCCTCTCACCACAATGGAGAGAAAGTGGAAGGAGATGCTGCTATGAGGGGGCAGGCCCGCACACAAGAATTTCTGTGAGGAGGTGCTTTTTTTGGTAAATGTGGACCACAACTTTTTTAAATATGAAGGTGTTCAAAATTGTCATGCAATGAGTATGCATAAGAGAGGTTAATAAAAAAATTGAGTGTAAACAATGATTGTTCAAATAATTTTGTTATACTAAAATTTATATAGTAATAAAGGTTTTATAGAATTTACCTTCTGGGATCATGGCAGGCAGCGCGGCCGTCATGGTCACCCATCCCCTTGGATGCCTTTGCCTGCTGTTGTTTTACCTGGTGCTAGACTCGCAGAGCAGGTGAGTGAAGGTAGGGCTTCCAGCCAGCAGAGCTGGGCGTGTGTGGCTCCTCGCAGGTGGGGGGTGCCATTCCCCCAGCCCTGTTGCGCTGCCACCAGCCTCACCTGCCCATCCCCATGCAACACAATTCTCTCCCATCCCCCTAACAGAGTGGTTCTCAAACTTTGTGGCCCGTGGTCCATTGGCTCAATGTAAACCCTTCCGTGGACCACTAGTTGCAAATGGAAACTTACCATTAATTTCATAATTATGCCTGAGCCATTTGCTAGTGCTGCAGCTAAGGAGAACAGTTAATTAAACCAGTAAGAAAGGAAATATGGATTTAAATTATTAAACACAGTAGTGGTGCTTTAACTTTCTCATGTTAGTTTATCAAACTTAATTTTAAATAAAGTAAAATATTAATTTATGTCCAACACAAAAGGTTCCTGTGTGTTCTTTATTCATGGTCAGGGAATCTTTTTTGGGCCTGAGGCACAGACCAGAAAAATCAGTTGGGGACCACACAAGTGAGAAGCAAAAAACAAACTAACAAACAAACCCCTCAAAAATCCTCCAACTCTCTCTGATGTGGCCCCAACTGAGACACTTCACTCCTCTCGCCCTCCAGCCCCACCGGGGGAGGGGAAGGGACAGGGAGGACTTCCAATAGCCCAGATTTACTCTTCTGGGATTCCTGGGTTAGTGGATTTTGTGGACCCCTTAGGGCTCTAGGGTTTGTACAAAAATGGGGGATTCAGTGTGCAGGGCAAGACTGCCAGCAAGAGGAATGGGGCTGCAATAGGGGGTGAGGGTGGGAAGTCTGGATGGGAGGTAGGGTGCAGGAGCAGGTTGGGAGTAGGGTGTCTGGGTGGGGGGGAGGGTGCAGGAGTGGGGTGGAGGTGTAGGTTGTGTGAGGGGGTTGGGAGTGCAGGGGTCTGGGGATGAGGGGGCACTCACTTGCCTTCGCACCCTGCGCCATTCCCATACACCACCTCCCACTGCTCCCATTGGCCAGATTCTGGGCAGTGGGAAAAGCCGCCTGGCAGTGTGCCCATGTGCTGCCGTTCCCCCAGCCCGGGGAGGGAGAGCACTTCTTCCCCATGAGCTGGATTGCACAGTGAGGCTCGAGGCTTTCTCTCCTGCCCTGCCCCCAGCGGGAAGCTGAAGCTGGAGCTCCAGCCTTGGGGAGTGGTGGGGGGAAGGCAAGGCTGGAGTACCAGCCCGGGCTCCCCACTGCAGGGGGAAGGAGGGCGCCCGAGCTCAAGCCATGGACCCGCTGCCCTAATGGAGGCCCCCCATGCCT